TAGCTTACACGTTTTACGTAACACAAGGTATCGCCAAAAATTATGTAATTCCAATGATAACCAATTATTTTTAAAGAAGTGAATAATTAACGTTAGATGACTTTCTTTTGATATTCGATGCTTTTTTACAAGATAAACATGAGGGTTGATTTTTTTTCAAATTCACTTAAAGAAGAATACAAAATTACGTAACAAACTAAAAAAATTGACAAAAAATAAAAGTATTTTTAATAAGTTTTAAAAGAATAAAGTAATTGGTTCAAAACATACAGATAGTTTAACGGCTGAAATGTACATGTACCTGTATGTGGCTCACCGTTGTTGCAGAAAAACGTCAACTTTTTTTACAAAGAAAATTTGTTATCAGAAATTTATCATCAGGTTTTACTTACGTATCATTTAAATCTTCACAAAGTTTTTTTTAATGTATAATATATGAAATTTTAAATCTTTACGTACAAGTTTTTTTTGGTTATTATATAACGATAATGTATGAGAAAATTTTATGAGCATCTATTTCCTTATTTTCTTTTAACTTGTATTAAAATGTAATTTTAGGTAATTGTGTCGACAACAATGGTAAGTTCCCATTAAAGCTGGGTCATTATTTGATAAATATTAATGCATTATAAAAAAGGCCGTAGCAAATAACGATAACAATAACAACAACGATAACAATAACGATAATGGTTAAATAACAAACTTCTTTAGAAAGTTCTTTTAATGAAAATTTGTAAAAAGATAAATTATAATTTATTTATTAAAAATTTTACTTATATCTGTATATATACCTGTATATATATAACATATATATATATATATCATATATATTCTTATCCGTTGTTATCAGTTATACGTAGTTATTATACGTATCGATATGTAGGTTATATGTAAGTCTGATTTTACCAATAATAAGTTCATTTGTACAACATTTACATCATTGCAGCTGACTAAATGCATCTTATGTTTGTGGCATAACGATATTTGTACAAATTTGATAGTCATTACACAAGAAACACCAAAACTCCCATTGTTTTATTATTCCGGGAATAGAGAAACATAATACAAGTCCTGAATATCGATGAAAATTATTCAGAGAAATCTTATAAACATTTAAAATTTTGATCTTTGTTTTAAATGTGTTTGACTTTATCTTATAGTACTTTACTTTATTTTATAGTACTTTACTTTATAGTACTTTATTTTATCGTACTTTACTTTATAGTACTTTATTTTATCGTACTTTATTTTATCATACTTTATTTTATGATATTCATTTATTACAGTATTATAAAAAAAAGACTGTTACAGTATAAAAATAGTACACAGTTTTAAAAGTGATACAATCTACATCAGATTGTAAATAAGCATGCATTCAATTATTGTTTCAATGCGTATTAGCCTTAGATAGTTTGCACTAATTTCATATATCGTAGCTTCCTATAACGCATTTATTATATGCTTTTTTTAATACTTGTATGAAGGGAAACAAGAATTTTTCCCCTAACTTATCTTGCATATATCAAGACCTTATCTACCTTCATTACATACAAGATACATACAAGAAATCCATATGGTCTAAATTTCACAAAGGAAAAATGTCAAATGATTGTTGATTATATTTCTTGGGAAATTCATACATGTTTATTATACTTGAGCAATTCTAATTCGTTGTTACTTTTTACGTCAATGACCAATGATATTTCAATCCGAACTAACTTTTTTTGGTTTGTTCCTTTAGTAAAAAATTATAATGAATCAGAGTTGAACTAATCGTCATTCACGTCAACCAAAATCCAACTAAATTCAATTAAATTCAACCAAACACATCCAAATTTTCATTCAAATTTCATCCAAATGGAATTATTCATGTCATTGAAAAAGATGTAAATAGAAATCAATAAAAATTGACGTCATTTATTCATTTTATATTATTGACTTTTTAAAAAATAAAGAAAGATTACAATAATCTATAATAATCTATAATAACCAATGATAATTATGTTTATTTTATTTTTATCTTATTTTATCTTAGCTTAAACAATGGATTCGCATTGAATAAACGCATTCATAAGCAAGATAATTCTAAAAACATTACAGTATGTCAAAGCATTTCACAATTTCGAACTTTTTTTTCAAACAAACAACTGTCAAAACCTTTTTTTTTTTATTACTATAATAAAGTATGTCGATATATTATTACTATAATAAAGTATGTCGATATATTATTACTATAATAAAGTATGTCGATATATTATAATATATACTGTATATATTATAGTATATTGTAATTTATTATAGTATATTGTGATTTATTGTAATATATTATAATATTGTATACTTAAAAATACACAAATAATACGTAAAACAGCACACCAATTAGAAAACGTGGAAAAAAATGTAACAATTTTTGTGGGTAACACATCAAGCAAGAATCATGAATTAAAAAAATCATGAATTAAAAAAATCATGAATTAAAAAATTCATGAATTAAAAAAATCATGAATTAAAAAATTCATGAATTAAAAAATTCATGAATTAAAAAAATCATGAATTAAAAAAATTCATGAATTAAAAAAATTCATGAATTAAAAAATTCATGAATTAAAAAAATTCATGAATTAAAAAATAATAATTTTTATAATTGAAATACATAAATAATTCAAAAAAACTTTTCTCATGTCTCCTGCGTTATCTTTTTTCAATTAAATTTATATGAGTAATCATTGAAAATTTTCCTATTCATGCTTTACATGCTTTACATGCTTTTACGCTTTACGACCAATTCAATTTATCAAAAGCGTAATCATGTGATAAAATCAGTGATACAAATGTAGCCACGAGGACAGGGGAATTTTTGTCCGATCCCTGCATGATTGATATCTAGTATTCCGGGTAATTTGATAATGATAACAGGGTTGATAACAATCTATCACTACGTAAAGAGTTATAAAGAGTTATAAAGAGTTATAAAGAGTTATAAAGAGTTATAAAGAATTAGGCATATAAATTAGAAATTAAATTTTTAAATATAATGATCAAAAACTTTAAAAAAAAAAGAGAGAGATAACCAAAACACAAGTGGTTAAGTTTTCATTCCCACGGAAATTTTAATAACAACTTCTTAGGAATTAACTAACCATTTATGATCATCAAACAACAAACTTTCTACTGTTTTTGTTTAGTGCATTGGTACAGTTGAAAACATCAGATATTGTTATTTCCTTTCCATTATCGCGATCTCGTTGGATGAATGCAATGAAATGCAATAAAATGCTTCGTTGGGAAAAAATCAATCTTAACGCATATTATCAACGTTTATTTTTATGAATTTATTGTGCCATTATTATTTAATATATTCCCCATATTTAATATCTTTTTCTGCATCGTCGTTTTTTTGTGTATCCATACTATAAAATATACTTCAATATATATATGTGTGTAACATTGGTTACAAGTTTTTTCATCTGCTTCTACATGAATATGGTGAATACGCGATACCTTTTTTTCTTGAAAATATAAATAAAAAAAATAATAATTAAATAATTATATGAAAAAACAATGGATTTACATTCAGATTACAATGAACTATTAGCAATATCGTCATATTGATGTAATTAATTTTACAAATAGACAAATAGAGTATTTTGAAGACAAACATATAAAAAAAAAATCTGTCGATAATTTTTTTTTTTCAAAGACATTCGGGTATAAATGAAAAATAATAATAAATTTATCCAGCCATTTTACCTTTGTAATCTATCTGTTATCGACTTACGTACGTACGTATGTATGTAAGTACTGTACATGTACACCCTCCGTTATGCATCACATTTTACATTTCCTATCGTAAGCGGCTTGGTCTTTTTCTTTTTTTTTTCTTGCTGTAATATTTTTTTTTATATATTTCATTTTCTACCACGCTCACATTAATCCGTGTGGCTGCGTGTGAAATCAACGCGTTTATTTTTTCAATTTGCCAGTTAACTTTTTGATTTCATTTGCATCAATGTTTATTGACTGTGCGAAGGCTAAAAAAAAAAAAAAAACAGAAAAAAAAAAAAATTGTTTACGAAAGACTGTTGAGATTGGATAATTCCAATTTTGTCGTTAATGGGATTTCTTTGTCTTACCTAATTTCTTGTTTTTTCGTTAATTATTTATATTCTTAAAACCCTGTGTCTTAAACCCGAATACAAGACTGGATATTGTTTTAACCATTCATTTATAAATTTATATACATTGTGTCACTTTTAAACCAGTTCCATACTGTGCAACTAAAAGAGACGTTAGCATAATGAATTCTCATACAATGAGGGGACAATATAGCCCACCATGTGGTTGGTTCGTGCTACTATTATTACTTTGATACCTCACTTTTTTCGTTTGAAATGATATCATAACATATATATATATGTATATTCAATATATATTATATTTTTACTTTTATACTTTTATATATATTTTTTTATTAGTTCTAAGGGGACTGAGGGGTGCATACACAAATTGCATATACTTTTAAAATCTACAAATAATCGGAGTTTGTGTGATTTTTTTATAGTAAATAAAGTATTTCGGCGTCAAATTAAATACGTACAATATAAATAATTCATTTTATTAGTGCTCGTAAAATTATTTTAATTAGCTTATCGTTATTAGATAAGTAATTTTTTTTTTTTTGTTTTACAATAAGTCTTTAATATATATAACTTCATTCTTTTAAAAAAAATTTTTTTCGGATATTATATATAAAAGAGTCGAAAATCTTTTCATTCCTTTATCCAAATCTATTTGTAAAGTTTTTTTTTTTTTTTTTAGTTACCAAGCTATTAATTCTTCGTTCTCTCTCTTCACCTTCTTTACGTCTACATTCTTTTCCCTCACGTTTCCTTTTTCCTTCACACTTCGTCCATACCTCATTAACGTCAAATCAATTCTTTAAAATAAAAAAAAAAAACTTGCAAAAAAAAATTCTCTTCTTACAAAAGAGAAACAATATGATGACTGAAAATATAAATATTCGACGAGACGATGATATTAATGAGGATATTAACGAGGATGACTCCCCTTATTTCATCCCCGTAACTGAAAGTGATGTATGTAATTAAAAAAGAATTCGAATGTTCGATTTAAAATTGATTTAAAATTGATTGAAATATATACTGTTTATTTTTTTTCGGTCGGCGAATTTATAGACGGATCGCGATTTATTGTTCGTGAGTATATAATTTTCATTCTCCGATCATGATTTTTTTTTTTCCGATTACTAAAAAAGTTTTTTTTCACACATTTAGCATTATGTATTCAAGTCTGTCCTTAAAGGAAACTATATCAGCCCTATTGATAAGTCCACCCTGAAGGTAAATTTTTTTATTGAAAATATTAATATTTATAATATAATATTTATTAATCTTATACAACTTTACAACTTATCTAGACTTGTTTGGATATTGCGTAAGGATTCTCATCTAATTCTTAATTAATTTGTAAATTCCTAATTCACTTGTAGCGTAATCAAAATTTTCTCACTCTAAATAAAATAATAATTATATAGATATGGTGGTGGTTCTTGGATGATGGAGATGGCAACGTGCGAATGAATTTAAATTATTTAAATTATTTAAATTAATTTAAATTATTTAAATTTAAAATAACCCTTTCTTTTTTTTTTTTTTTTGATTTATAGTGACTTCCCCGATTGCCAATTTTATGGGATTGACATTGAGCCTCGTACTCCTGATACTGTCTTCCCCCATAATTGTAATTTTGAGAAAGGTGACTTTCTCAGTAAGTATCTTATTAATAATTAATAATAATTATTAATTAAGCACTTGTTGTTACAATTTGATTATAACAAATATTTTATTCATTAACGTAGAGAAGCTCCCTTATCCGGACAACATGTTTGACTTGGTTCACATTAGATTGACATTAGTTTGGCTCCCTATCGGCAACCTGCTCGAGGAGATTGCTAGAGTAACCAAACCCGGCGGCTTTATTGAATTTTTGGTATTTTTTTTTTTTATTATATAATTTAAACTTTTTTTCTAATTTATTTATTTATTTATTATTATTATTTTTATTTTTTTTTAAATGATATGCAGGATCAAGATGTTTCATCTTGTCCAACGTTAGTAATATATTAATAATTCTCGCATATTACAATGTTAATAATTAAATGCTAATAATTTTATTTGTTTGGAAATTTAGTAATGCCGGTCCACTAATGACCTGCTTTGTCAAGGCTTGGAGAGACATCCAAGTCTCGAAAAATATCGATGTTGATCTCTTGGTTAACTTGGATCAAATATTGATTAAAAAAGGTTTTGCAGATGTTCAAATCAAAAAGTTTCCCGTACCAATGGGAAAATGGGCCGGCATGGTAATTTCATAAATAATTTTCATAATAATTTGATTTTTTTCATAATAAATAACTTTTATTTTATTAATAGGTTGGTGAATTTTTCTTGTCAGCATTCAAACTGTTCACTATCAGTACTGCCTCCCTCACCTCCGGCCATTTAGGCCATCTAAGCCTTCAAACTGAAGACGAGTATTCTGAATTACTCGGGGCTGAATGTGAAGAATATCAGCCTGTCATTAGCATTCATGCCGGGTTCGCCAAAAAAATTTAAAAAAAAAAAAAAACTTGCCAAACTTGCCAACATTTGAAATTTTTGATTCTATTTTTTTAAAAAATTATCTTTTATTTTTTCTTTTTGCTCTAAATTTTTACAGACCTATATGACTATACGATTCATCTAATTGAACCTTTTTAAGCCATTTCTTAATCGTTCCAAATTTTTTCAATGTTTGGTGCCTTAACTTCTCAACGTTGAGAATTTCTTGGACGATAAAAATTTTTATGTTTTCAACCCTTTTTTAATTTTTCTAATTTTTTTCTTATGATTCCAATTAACAAAAAACATTAAGCAACAAATAATTTTTGAAATTTCTATGATTAGGGAAGGTACCAAAAACAAAGATTATTAACCCTGCGGCGATTTTTATTATGACATGGCTTTTATCTTTTATCCAACTTTAACTTTTTAATCTTTTCTTTTATTTTCTCCTTTTTATTATATATTACAAAACAAAACAAAAAAAAAAAAACAAAAAAGCAAAACAAAAAGCCTCTCAAAAACATAACATAATCCCTTAAAAACAAAAAAATATTAATAGTTATAATAGCTATACGATAGAATTGGTTCTCTCTCTACTCTATCAAAATATATCAACCTTTTTTTTTTAAATATCGTAATTGATTGGTTCCCTTTCGTTTTCGTTTCGTCTTCAACCTCTACAACCTTTTTTAAAATTGATTGAAATATATACTGTTTATTTTTTTTCGGTCGGCGAATTTATAGACGGATCGCGATTTATTGTTC